CTCAAGGGAATGAAGATCAAGAATCTAAAAATGAAGGTGCCATATTCATTTAGCCTTTCTTCAGAGTTCCCTGTGGAAAAGGAAAACCCATGATCTATTGTTAGCTTTTACCAGTAATTATTATTTAGTATCTGAAGAGGGCCACATTATTAGTGCACATTGTAACAAAGACTTTAAAAGACTGGGTCAGGAAGATAACGACTGAGGATTGTTGCCATGCCATGATATCTACTCTTCCTCTTTGCCACAGTCTTTGCAAACTCCTGACAACACTTTGGCAGTTAGTACCTATGTGACTGCCTAATATGACATTCTCTCCTCTCTGACCACAATTTCCATCTGTCTCATACTATGCTGTACTGAAAGCTCATCAATAACCTTTAAGAACTGCTGGAAATAACTGAAAAGTAAAGTTGTGTTACAAATATAAAAGCAAACTCTTAAGAAATCAGTTCACTTATTTCTACAAGCCACCATAGTAAAACTGATTTTTTTTTTTTTTCAAAACCAAATACAACTGAAACATCAATTCAACAGTCCAGTTTCTAGCTTCTAATGCTTTTATTCTTTATCCTTTCCTGTGTATCTTCCACAACCATATAGGTAAATAACTGTTATTACTATTTGCTAGTAGAAAATGGTTATTTTCTACCATCTGATTTTCACATGTTGAATATTATTTTTAAGAATTTAATTAAATATCAGTTTTAACAGAGCATCATTAAATAAAATTATCATGAAATATATTCCTTAAAGTTGCCAGGCTATTGATAATACATTCATTACCTATAATATTTACTGAAATTTGAAAGTTACATTTACAAATTGTTAATATTCCTCTCACTGTTCTATTGCCATTTCTGTGAACTTACAATTATTTTCCAAGACCTAAAACTCAGGAAAGATATACGTCTTTACCTTTTCTATATTATTACTGGAAACAGCTATTCAGGAGAGGATAGATGCTCTGTATTCTTTATGAGAAAATATTAAGGACAAAGAGAGTCAAAGTTCCCTTGCTTTGGCAGCATTAATCCAAATGAAACCTTTTGTAAAAAATCTTATAATTCCAATCCATTAAAACATCTAGCTTTGTGTAGAGGTAGCAACGTTGCTACACCAGACCTAGTTGTCTATCCAAAAAATGCAGCAATAAAAATCAAAAAATGAAATATATTTTCCCATTAACCTTCCATAGCAAGAGTATAAGCTGTGTAAGTATTAGACAAAGGATTCCATTCATAGGATTTTCCTAGCTCTTGTTGTGCTTTAGTCAAGGCTAAGAAGAAAAACTGAGATCAAATCCACATGACTTTACCGAACACTGATGTGTGAGAGATAACTAGATGCTTTTTCTTGAAGATAAATTTAATTTTTTATGTAGTACACTTGTCATAATTTCATTTTTCTGGATTTCAGTGGAGCAATATATAAGAAAGAATTCATAAAGCTGAGAAAGTTGAGCATTACCTGGCAAAATGCAAAGAGGCACTAAAGACAACAGTGTTATTTCGAAATGGAAATTATCAGGCTAAAGAGGGATAACAGCAAAGAGAATGAGGTATGGAAATGAGACAATTTAGTATGTTCACAATCTATTCAGTGGACTTGAAAACTGCCATTGAGTTAGTGAGGGTAGTAATAATACACGAAAAATAATGTTAAAATAATGGAGGCTCAGAGAATCACAGGGAAAGAAATTAGGGCTAGATTCAGGGGGGACCTGAATATGAGAAATGGCTTGAAATTCAATCTTTTTCAGTGCAAAATGAAGTCACATTTGAGAGCACTTAGAATTCCTGCTGTAGATTGAAACTCATCAGTGGGAATTCCTGAAAAGGGTATTAGTGAGCCAATTCATCACAAGATGTCTGTGTACTGTCTGTATGATATACACATGAAAAGGGCATAGGTAGTTACAGGCTATACTGGAAAAGTTAGTTCCAGTAGAGACCAGGAAATGTCGTTTCCAGTAAAAGGTTCTAGTGAAAACTTACCTGTAATTGTATGGTTTTAAATTAGATGCATGTGATGAAGATGAGTTTAAATACATATAGATAAGGTACACTGTGAATGAAAATGCAGGAGAAATAAGAAAAGCAGAAGTTTTCTTACAGAACAAAGAGTGAGAGGGAACATTTTTGCTAGTATCTATCAGTGCACTGGAGTAATCATCATGGAAGAAGAAGAGCTACTTAAGCTAGCAAAAATGTTGGAATAAAGATAAATTTTATATATAGGTCAAGCATGCTTTTAATCAAGAAGGCAGATGCTTCTACCCATTAAAAAAGTAAGGTTCTGCAAGATCCTTCTAACAAAAATAGGACATAGTGAACAAATATAACTAGTTTAAAAATGGTTTACATTACAACTTTTGAAAAGATCAGCATTTGATAATGATGGGAGAGAAGGTGTCTGTGATATCTGAACACTGAACAACACTTCCAGCTTGCCTTCTGGCTGGATTAGTTTTGATTATCCCATCAGTAATATCCATCCTTAGAGTGGTAAGTCTACTACACTGTTTAAGTTTCAGATCTACTGAATGGATTGACACTCATCCTCATCAGAAAGAAAACATGACTGGTAACCCTAGAGCAGATACTCTACAGGTTTGTCAGGCTGTATCTGGCTGCTCTTCATCCACTCTTTCCGAGTACTTCTTTGCTAAATGGTACACTGCAAATGAAACTTTTTCTATGGCTCATGAAACGCCAAAGAATTATTTTAAGCATCTTCCCAAATTCATGATTTATTCTACATTCCATTTATTCAACATTGAAATGCATAAACATAAAATGACAATATGTTTTTCTGCTCATTTTTCTCATACAAAGGAGACATCTGTGACATTACAAACAACTCCTTAAATAACTTGTTTTTTATTATGCCTACATATTCACACACAACTCATTTATACTGGTTCTATATGAATTGGTAAATATTCTTACTCTTGAACAAAGTTATACAGTCTCATGAAATAAATGAGCTTTGTAACACTGTGTTGGGGGTGGCTTTGTTGGTTTTGGGGTTTTTTTTTTCCTTTTTTAAAAATTTTAATTTCATATTGCATCCAGTATTGTGGAAGGCAGTTACAATTGTAAATATTAGGAACAACATGAAATACTCCTTGATTTTTGGATTACATTTTGCAAGATAGATTTTCAAAGAGAAGATATCTTCCTATATTTTTAGATACTTGGGAAAATTCCATCCAGAATTATAATTCATAAACACCATAGAAAATAGGTTATTTATTTCAAAAGCAATGGGCTTTTCTCAACTATGCGGTTGTACTAAGCATAACATCTTAAGAGGAAAAAAAAAAAAAAAAAAAAAAAGATTTTAGGAACATTCAGAATGGGGAAAAAAATAAGCAAAGAATAACAATGTCTTAGTAGAAATGCATAAATAGCTTATGTGTACATGTTTTTGTTGTTACTGATGTTTAGTTTTTTGTATTTTTTTTTTAATTGTTTTCCTGAGGATAAAAAAGCAAAGCAAAAGTGGCATGAAGCCCTTTCTGGTCTCATTCATTCTTGAACTTTGTTCATTTTATCCACAAACTGACCACAGCCTTTTCTTGTTGGAAAAAAATAGAAATGGTAATAAGTCATAGAACACTCATGTTAACTCAAGAGAGCTCAGTCAAAACACTCACAGAGGCAAAGGCAGGGCTATTTTTCACCTTACAGTGTCTAAACAAGATTAACACTATACTTTCACTCTTGGTAATCATTTACAATTAGTCATGTAAATCTTAATGTCATTCTCCATTATAATTTTACAGCGGGGAATGGTTTTTCTCACTTGTTTACATAGCATTTACTTATGGTAAATGACTGACAACTGTAAATGACAAGAAAAATCACAGCTACTGCATCACAGTCTACCTGTAGTAGATACCCTAGTCCCTTACTCCGTACAAACAATAAACTGCTGTAAACAAAACCACACCAAATACCTCTTCAAGCTTTGCCAAGAAAGAGAGATTGGTAAATATGCTTGAAGTGTAAGCAAATATTTATTCGCCTCTGAATAAACTTATTTAATATTTTTCCTTTATATTAGCAAAACAATGCAAGTGTCTCCATGTGTCCTGAATGGATAGGAAAGAGCATAAATGTTTCTGATTTGTTATGAGAAATGTTATCAAAAAGGCAAAGTGAAGTCTGCTGAGGGACAAGCATTTCTCAATAAAATATTTTGGGAACTAGAATGAAATGGATATATTCAAAATGAAGTATCTATTATCCAGTTATGCAGCAATATATTCCCGTAAGTAACAACACTTCTTCTGATATACAAATGTCTGCTTCTTAAAAGTGGAGTGTCCTCTTTGCTTTAAGAGTCAAAATGACTGAAATTGAGAGCCATATAATCTCAGTAAAACAGAATCTATGTAAGAAAGTTACATGGAAATACATAAAAAGTGAAAAAACACCACATTTTTAATGCAAACTTTAGATCTCTTCTGGATACGCTTTCTTCTGATATATATTGAGGCAGGGAAAAAAAAATCTCAAAGTAATAGAACAACTTTCAGAAAGTTTCAGAAAGTGTAGGTGGAGAAAAGTATACTGACTGAAAGATGTACCGCCATTTAAAATGGACTGGTGGGCAGAGTCAACAATAAACGAAAAGAGAAAAGACAAGCATTCATTTCCAAACTAATGCCAGTTTCACATACATACACATGAAGTTACCTGGCCATGTGTTTAAAATCCAAGCGGTGGTGTTCTAGGCTTCAGCTTAGCTTGGATAAAAGCAAAGAACTACATAATTATTGCAAACAGCTAAACAAAGGTGGGCTTGCCCTCCTCCTTCCCTACCCCACAGGAAGTAGCCGACTGGAAGATCTATCCAAAATACCTCCCCAGCCGGACCGAGGAAGCTGCCAACACCTGGCTGAGGGCGAGCTGCCGCCGCCGGGGCTGAGCCAACGGCGGGAACTGCGGGGCGCGCGGGCGCGGCGGTACCTCGGACAGCTCCACACTCACCGTCCTCGTTCTCGTCGAACACGGGCGCCCTGTGCGAGTGGCTGCCCCCCATGTTAGTCCACAGCCGGCTCCGCATCCCCCGCCGCCAGCATTCCGCGGGGCCGGCAGTCACCCCGGCCTCGGGGCAGCTGCCCTCCCGCCGCCCCAGCCCGGCCCGGCCGGGGGAGCTTCCGCAGGGCTAGCAGTCACCCCGTGACATGAAAGCGATCCGTCCGCCCCTGGCAGCGAGCGCTGCTGGCGTTCGCGGACTTTGGCCCGTCTCTCATCACGGAGGGGCAGGGGAGGGAGGGAGTTAGGGGAGGAGGGAGGGAGGAGACGGAGGTCCTGCTGGTGGTGGCTTTTGGTAAGCGGTAAAAGCTGGATCTACCTGGATCCTAGCGGATCCTCCCTCTGCCTCCTTCGAGACCTCCGCCGGAGAGCGCGGAGTCTCTGCTGCTGCCTCGGCAGCACTGCCTAACGAGGGCACGGAGCTTCTCCTGCCGCTCGGAGGAGCTTTCTGGCATTGGCACCCGCAGCTGAGGGCTACTGGGATCCGAAGCGGCTGAGGGGCTGTGGGTGTAAGCTCTTCTTAGGTTAACCTTTTCGGAGTTTTTGTCCTCCCTAATAGGGGTTCCCCCTCCGGCAGCGGGGAGGACCACGGTCAGCTGTCCGAACTTCACTGAGTTCATCAAAGGAAAAAAAATAATAACAATGAAAAGAGAGAAAATATCCCTCTTCCTTTTCCTTCCTCCGGGCCCGGGGTGCTGGAGAGAGGTCTCGGCAGGGCTGTCCTCCGCAGCGGGGGTGCGACGGCTGCAGCAGAGCACTTTCGGGAGCGACGGAGCAGTAACCGGGCCGCCGCGGGGGATGCGCCCGGAGCGGCCGAGAGGGGGCGCCGCTGAGGAGAGCCACCGCGCCCAGCCCTGCCCGGCCCCGCAGCGCCACCTGGCGGCCAGCAGCCGCCTCCTGCTTGTCACCGGCAGGGCGGCTCCGATAGGACTTCGTGAGAAGAGCAAAAAAGTACACCTGTATACATATCAGTATATTTATCTCGAAATAGCTCAATTACAAAAGCGCTTTAGGGAAAAGAAAGAAGGGGTAGTGGATAAGATGGAAGAACATTAGAGAATACATGGAGAGAGAGAGAGAATATACATACATTCTCTAATGTTCTTCCATCTTATCCACTACCCCTTCTTTCAAGCTTCTGACTTTGGAAAAGTTCTAGAAAAAAATTGTGCATACAGAAGGAGAACTTTCTTTACTTACTGCTTTTTAACTGCCTTAGTTATTCACATCAACTATCTTTGAACTCAGTATAATCTTGCCATAACCTTTCAAGGAAAGGTTGACTGAAATTGAATGCAGAGGGTGAGACCCTGCATTATGCAACTAAGAGCTCAGAGCTTACCACCTCTACAAACACAGACAGCTGATAAATTCAGGGAATAGTGATATTTTTCCATAAGTATATATGGACAGATTGTATCACTAACTGATATTCCATACTTAATCATCTGGATTGTCACTATTAACTTGCAAAATGTTTGCAAAATACAGAATGTTTCAATACACAGACATCTAAATTGTTGTTTGGAAAGCATCACTTTCTCTTTGTTACTCGTTAGTTTATTACTCAGCTATACAATATATTATACTATACAACCTAAGTCATCCAGTCAAAAAAAAAAAAAAAAAAAAAACCAACAACAATATTATGTTATTGAGGTTATGTGCATTTAAGAGGATAGCAGTAACATATAGAAATCATTACCTTTCAGCTAGCAGTTATCATCTGTGCTAACCAGCAAGCATGGTGCTCTAAGTTAATCCCTTTCCTTTTGAATTGGCAAGGGAGAGTTGCATTTAAAGTTTAATGCATTTCAGCTGATGAGTTACCTTCTACCTGAGCTAAGATCTTATATCACATTAATGTAATTGCTTTGATTCTTGTGAGAGAACTTTAAAGTGACCTTCCAAATAATGGGAAGAACTCATTTGCCAGTAAATCCCCAATCTTGTGTGTGATTATTTTACATATAGGAAGCATGTTTCTAAAACAACAGACATGGGATGAGCAGGAGCAGCTTGAGATTGCTTTGCATGCTGAAAATATGAATCATGAAAAAATTCTTGCAGCAGCCAGGAATTACTCTATTTCTTTCTTTTTTATCTGACTTCTTCCATACCAACTGATTCCAATGACTCTACAGAGATGTCTGTCATGATTTCATATGACAAGGCCCACATGGACCAAAATAGTTAAACTGCTTACAGAGTAACAAGTTGTCTCTATTCATTTAATAGTCATTCCTACTAGAATATGTGTCTTTCTTACTCCTATTTGGATTATTACAGTAAAGTAATGACGAGCCACTCATTCATTACTTATTAAAGATAACTTTATGTTCTTCTGTAACTCTTGCTCTTGACTAGTGACAGACATTATTCTTCCCAGTCATTTTCAATTAAAAAAAAAAAAAAAATTAAAAATAATCATTTGGCAAGAATTGCTGGTTTTGCTGCTCTAATGAAAATGCAAGGTATTCATTGCCACACTGCCTTTGCTCCAAATGAATTTTTGCTTGTACTAAACAGACAAGCTTGCTGGTTGCATCAGCATTTCTGCAGATAATCAAAAGTTGTTTTCTTAATAGTGTTCAATGGAACAGAGGGCATCAAGGCCAGATGTATTCATGAGACCTAGAAAAGTCTCAAGGAAATCAATTGCAATTTTCCAGTATGAGTAATATCAAACCTTGAATATACAACCTGTTTATTCACATGGCCCAGAACTCTGAACAGACACATAAGTTCAGCATCATTTTTCTAATGTTACTCAAAACAACCACTGCATATGCTCCAAATTTAGCAAAAAATCTTCAGGAACAATTACTCATGTATTTTTCCAATTGCTTTGGTAAATAAGAAATAAATCTGAAATCAGAACATCATACTAATCAATGAAGCTCTCTGAAGATGAAGCTTTTTCAGGGTATTCAGTACTTACTCTCGTGGAACAAGTTTCTCAGCTACCAGAAGTCAAAATTTGTAAGTCTTTGAAGACCAGAACCAAATCCCACTTCCCATGTTTATCTGCTCTAATAAAGCATCACCAGGCCTTGCTTGAGATAAATCAAATTCTAATCTTAAAAAGGTGCTTTATTTTTAGCATGTAAAGAGTGCATAGCATATACAGAAAACATGGTAGGGAAAAAGGGCGTTCTATCACAGGGTGTTGTTTTTTTCCTGTAAATCAGAAGCTGCAATCATTGTGAACATCATTTTAAGCCCGTTGTTTTCCATTTTCATTTAAGGTCTACACTACCTGGCTTAGATTAATAATGTTTTGTTGTTGTTGTTGTTGTTGTTGTTGTTGTTGTTTTCAGATCTCCATGCAGAGTTAGCAATAAAGAAAATCAAACATGATCACACTATTTTGCACTATTAAACTTCCCTTAGGGAATTCAGTAGTTTAAAGCCAGTAATTCTGTGATTACAGCTTTTGTATTAAAATGCTTTTGATGAGATTTACAGGATGACCCTACAGTTCTTGATGTCAAAGTATACCCTGCTGATATGCTAATATTTGTAAATTGCAGAGTGTTTATACTGATATTTTGGTGTTTGAATACTATCCTGTAGTTAATTAGCAAGATATTAAAAAATATCTCTTATCTTTATGATTAAGATGACCTTAAAATGAACAATGATGGTTTAAAAATAGTCCTCTTTATGGAAATCAATAAAGACCACACTCACAGCTGGTTACTTTTGTGTCCCTCTTTACAGAGAAGGGTCACAATCTCTGCTGTGTGTTCTTATGGATGTAACAGAGACAAGGATAGGGTATGTTCATACTAAAGAAGCAGTGGGTTGTGTAAAGTAAGAATCAGTGAGTGAGGAGAACAAGTATTACTGCTTTTCTAATTCACTAAGAATTGATAACTAGTGGTATAGTCAGATTTGTTTTCAGGACAGTGTCCGAACAGGTAAAGGAGTTAGAAACCTTCCATGGTATTTAAGTCTCAGTTCATCTGTGAGGAGTGGAGCTGTAGTTGAAACCATCTCCTTTCACTTAACACTGGTGGTAAAGCTGTCCAAACCCTTCCTTAACAATCTCTGCTCCCCACTCTCAGTGAGATCACTAAAATGTGATAAAATGCAAAGGTTGCTAAAATTAGAAAAAAAATGTTTGATCTTTCCATGGTTAACTGTTGGAATCTGTACTCTGCCCTTTTTAATTTGAATTTTGCAGAATTTATGCATTGGAAGCACTCAATGAATAAGCCAGCAAGAGTCAAGAACCTGAAATACACACTGACAGTTTTCTAGTCAGTCTTCAGGCATAAATATGTGCTGTTTGAAAGTAATGTCAGAGCCTATGTAAGTTGACTGAGTCCTATTTCACCCCTGGATGAATCTGAAAGGAACTGCTTCTTCTAAAGTGCTATCAAAAGCGTATTAAAATGCTACGATTTTATTGAGGTTTACCATGAGCAGCAGTGAATATAATTGGCATCATCTAGTAGACTCACAACAAGTGAAAAGGTACAAGAATTGGTCCAAGCATAGATCAAAGTTCCCTTTACTTTGCCAGAACAATGAATTTGCTGCAAGACAGGTGTTTTGCTTGGCTTCCCAAGCTGCCTTCTCAACTGCTCCTTCTTCAGCAGTCCTAATTCCCATTTCCAAAGCACAAATGTAAAACATGATACAGTTTTGAAGAGATTTTGAACTAATCCCAGTGGGTCAACCAGGCATGAATTTGCAGAAAGACTAAATGAGGCTCCAGCCTTCCTGTTAGAAAAGTTAATGGAGTATGGAATAGACTCATAGCCATGTTGTGCATAATCAAATCTCATGGTTAGACTGTAAGTGTATCTGCTCCCATTCTCCATTTCACGTGATCGATAGCATTCAATGAGGCTTACAAAAGGCTGCTAGCCAGTTGCTTCCCTTGTATTGCATCAATGTTATTTCACAGCTATAGCCATTTTCTCAGAGACCTGCTGTATGCTTGGACTATTTTCAGAAGAATAAAGCATCTGAGCCCAGCTAAACTTCTGCTGAAAACAGCAGGTTCACAGATCTTACTTATTTCTATTTTTTCATGCCAGAAGAAGACTAAAAAAAAAAAAAAAAAAAAAAAAAAAAAAAA